TTTTTTTTCTCAGAGGAGGAGATTGTTAATTGATTTGATTAATGGAGGTGCCAAACTGGCGGCCGCGTCCCTTGAACACGAGACAGAGTGAAGCTGTTACAGTCTCCCTATTTTTTTCCGCTAGCCGTGCCCTCCACCACCCCTACCCACGGGCATTTTGTACTCTATCCAGTTTTGCTCGCATCAAGAGACCAAGATGGCGGCCCGTCGAGCTCAACGATCGACATCTACGATCTCACGGAAAAATAGGGGACTGTGAACAGTCTAGTTTCAAAATAACATAGCTTTTTCTCCGCTCTCTTTACTCTCAGGTCAAAGGTCGCTTTTCAGGAAGAAGAGCTCCATTTAGCTCACTGCCTCAGGTGCCTCAGATTTTATTTGATCAAAAATTTTATTTCACTGATTTAAAGAAGACTAGAAAACTCGTTTTGGGAATGTCATGCACCACAACGGATTTTGAGCACTTGAAAATAGGCCCAACGTATACTTCTCTCGTTCAGCTGTCTTCCATCATTAGATTTCAAACATTGGTGATATTTAATTTCTAATTCTATTGCGATCTATTTAGCTCTAAATATAAAAGAAAGGAAGTATACACACGGCTTATAACTAGTTTATTATAACAAAAAGGTACCATTTTATTTTCGTAGCTTGAAAACGAGGGGAATCCGCTGGATTCACCGAATTTTAGCAGCGAAACTCTACACAATCACCTTCCTACGTCACTTCCAAAATACATCACAAAATTAGAATCCACATTCACTAGTACTGGTGGAGAGTTGAGCGCACCTTTGGAGTCTGACGTCCGCATCATCGTTCCTGGCGGGGCAATTCCCGCTGGAATAAACCAGTCTATCTTTTTTGGAGTGTTCTTGGATGAAACAACATTGTTGCAGGATATCCCAGACGCACCTGATAAGACTATTATTTCTCCCGTGATTGAATGCGGGCCGCATGACATTCACCTGTTACAGCCAGTAGAAATCATTGTTCCACATTGCCTAGATTTAAGCAAGGCTAAAAAGGAATGGATTACTGTTTACAGATGTGGACAGTTTTCTGCTGAAGGTAACGGAAGTCGGTTTTTTCACATTTTAGTTTGATAGGCTATGCCTTCCTCTCATGTGGCCTCGAATGTCGTCGATTGCAAAAAGTTCAAAAAAATTTTAAGGGTACACTGCAAAACTCTGAGGCTGTTTTCTTACTTCTTAACCGAGCTCTGGTACCTGGACGCCTAACAAAACAGTGTTGCGTTTAGACACCGGCTGCTTCAAGTACCCAAGTAACATTTAGTCATGCCTGCGTAATAGGTCAAGGCCTTACACCTGGGCACGGACCCTAAATTAAATTCTGGAGTGAGTACTTCAAATTGGAAAAAAAAAAAGTTGTGTTGAACTTAGCGCCCAGTGAGAACGTAGTCGGGCACCGTGCTTGGGCACCAAGTGTGAACGTAGCTTAAGGCTACTCTGGCCGCCCAAGCACGGTGCTCGAGTACAATTCTCGCTGACTCCCAATGTTAACACATTTATTATTTTTTTAAGTACTCACACCAGAATTCGGACACACTGTGCGCACCCAGCTACAAGGTCTCGAACTTGTACTCGGCCACTACATGGTACTTGGGTACTTGGGATGCCAGTATCTGAATGCAGTACTATTTTGTAGCGGTACACAGGCGGCAGTGCTCGTGCAGAAAGTGTGAATGTAACCTAAACCAGTATAGTATGGCCACGAGCATTGGCAACGGGTAGGACGCGGGTATGGGTAAGGGTACGTGACCGGGCACGGCCAAAGGCACGGGCGTGATAAGCATTACGCATTAATATGGTATATAGGAATAGCTATAGGCAAAGGTATAGACATGGCCATAATTAACCACGTTAACTAAACTTAACTTTTAAAAAAGAAAATGAATAACAACGCAAACGCTACTGCTATCTATATAGGTTGTTCAAACTGGGAGAGAGTACCCAACGAATCGGAAAAAGTAAGTCAATCTCAGGCCGTCTTCACGGTTAAAGAGGATGTTATCCACATCAAAACTACTACCTTTTCACTCTGGAGCATATTAGCCTGTGGCGGGCCAAGAAGAAAAAAGGCGACAGTTTTTGCCAGCAGACCGGATCCCAGAAGCGACCTAATTTACCTACGATTTTACGTCTACAGTGATAACCAGGATTCTAAGAGGGTAAGTGATCAAATGAGCGACAGGAATGAGGGCAGAGTGCTAAAATATGCATTATGTCTGTGTTTGTGCATCCATCGAGCCGTTCATCTGCATACACTTATAGATCTGTCAATGCATAAATCTTTGAAAATGAAGGGATATGTATGGTCGGACGAATGGGTGGATGGATGGAATGCTGAAATGGCCTTCTTCAGGTCTTTGCATTCATCGTTGGTTTCAACCGCGGATTCAAAAAAGTGATTACTTGCAAAGCTACAATGTACAGCACAGTTGTTTCAGATTCCTCAATAGTAGAAAGTTCGAGGCCAATCGTATCCATGAGATGAATTCTGCATCCGTCAACCCTTTTCTGTAATATATACTTTGGAATTATATCTAAGTCCGAAACCCAGAAATTTTCAAGCAAACTGCGAGGGAACCTGCGATGGCAGGATATTCACTCATGACACGATCATGAAATTCGTGTTCACGTGATCACTTTTTTTAATCCGTAAATGAAACCAACGGTGCGAGCAAGACCTGAAAAAAAGCCGTCTCAACAAAAGCCCGGGATCAAGAGTAGATGGAGTATAGCCGGATAATAGATAGAAAACGTTATTTATTCATTGAGAAATGGACGGATGGATGGATAGATTGATGGCTAAATGGATGGATCAATGAGGCTTTGAATATCGATGTTACTGTTAGTTAGGCGTGAACAAAATAAGTAAATGCAGGTTGGAGCATGTATCAACACTAGAGCGAATTGCAGGATTTTTTTTGCAAAATGATATTCTATGCGTATATACTTATTTGGTCCCACTTTAACATCTTTGGCATTAACTTTTGCTGTGTCTTCCTTCTTATAAGCGCGTGGAGTTGACAGAAAAGGAACGGTTTCCTGGCTCGAAGTCAGCGAGGGAGAAGCCCTTCAGAATGTACAAAGACAACAAAATGATCACAGTGAGACTAACTGATCTTGAAGAAGGCTGGAAGTTTGACAAGACTGGTGATGCACAGGTAAACTGGAAGTTTTATTCCAAAAAGTGATCTATTCAGACCCACAGGTAGCAGGTACAGCTATTTTAATGATTTCTTAGCCTCAAATAAGAACAGATTAAACGCATAAGACATCTCCATCGAGACCAAAAGCTGGTTAACGACAAATAAAACCAAAATTGAAGAAGAAAAATAAAATAAAATAAATTGGGGCCAAAAGATGATAATTGTGTCATCTTTTCCAGTCGTTTTCAGTTATAATATTGGTTGTTTTCACACAAATACGAGAAAGAAAAAACATGAAGGAAAAGGGAAAAGAAAATTTACCATACTAGTTGATCCAACGAGTAGGTTGTAAAGGGCTGCTCTTCGTTTGATGCCTACTATCTTATCACCTATGTTTTAAACCACACTGCTTAGTGACTAAGGAGTCCAAATCTTTCGGTTTTGGATTTCTTGGACTTCCTATCAGGCACATTCTATTACATTATACTCAAGCGAATACTGGGCTTCCTCTCTTCTGAATGTCGAATAACAAATATCTCGTGTTCAAAGACTCAGCGAACGTCCCCCACCCCCAAACGAACTCATTAGTTGTTTTATTTTTCTTTAAGATCGTTATCATCTCATTCTTCAACATCTTTTCTCTAAAAATGCTTCAATAACTGCCTAATCTGTTGTGTTTCATCACTTGTAGATATACAAATACGAGAAAGCTAGAGGAAGTGGATTCCGGTCTAAAGATGCCTGCGATTTTGCTGTTAAACCAGAAGATGGTCGAGATGTTGGAGCTTTTTCTTGTGAAGTAAAGTTTCAACAGGAAGATGACGACCAAGAACACTCATTTTCCGTGTATCCAGGCTTTACGCCTCTGAAGGTATAGCAGAGAGAAATATTTGCTGCAATAGGGGAAGCATATAATTTTTCTTTTGTGATTCACGGGGCAGACGTACAATGGACAGTAAGTCCAGCTTCTTTGTCTCTAAAATGGTGGGATCAGTCACCTTGAGTTTCAAGTTTTGTCTTTCAAGTTGGAAAATCGTTTCAAACAAAACTAACTATATGACATCAATCCTTTTGATTTTATACATCTTTCTACGGCGAGGGAAGGTAGGGAATCTCACCCCCTCCGTAACTTCAGAGCTTTCCAAGCAATGATAATTGTCAAGTAAAAGATGTGTGGAACGTCCAATAACATTGCCTTAGCAAGAGAGGAAAGCCACATAAAATAATAGCGTTACTAATGTCACGTTATGATCGTTTTCTGGACTGAAATACATTTCAGATAAAGTCTCAGAATTTGGCAAATTTTACTTGAATAGCACACCCTACCCCTTCCCTTTCCCCTTCACTTTTTTTTTTTTATTTATTTTCCCTACTAGTAAATTGAGGAATCTTCAGCAAGTAAAGCAAACTGCTTTCATGTTAGATTTATTTAGGGCAAGCTATAAACTACTCTTCAGACTTTTCAAAGTTGATTTGGCGTTATATCTGANGCAAATTTTACTTGAATAGCACACCCTACCCCTTCCCTTTCCCCTTCACTTTTTTTTATTTATTTTCCCTACTAGTAAATTGAGGAATCTTCAGCAAGTAAAGCAAACTGCTTTCATGTTGGATTTATTCAGGGCAAGCTATAAACTACTCTTCAGACTTTTCAAAGTTGATTTGGCGTTATATCTGACTTGGCATTATTTTCATGTTTGTCTAGCGACAGAGCATCCATCGAAGCTCCGAAGAAGGCCTTGGAGGCGACACTTTCTCTAGTAAGTGGGTTTTCAAATAACACTTAGAGCGACTCGGGAATGGTTTTAATTTCTTGATATTTTCTGAGCCTTCTGGTAAGAGATCTAAAGAGACAGACAAGCATGCAGACCGAAAAAACAAAAAAACAAAAAAACAAAAAAACAATCGCGAAAAATAAGGATGTGTTTGAAAGATTTGGTCGAGAAAGCAAAGAACCAAGATCATTCGGGTCATGATGCACTTTAGATGCACTTTAATCCAACTGCACGTAATCTTGAATCGCCGAGAGGGTAGACTGCGAGCAGTCTCTCTTTTCCTCGAAAACCCGTGGGAAAGAACGCAAAACAGGTGAGCTTGGCAACGTGACTGTGAGCGTGATGCGCGAAACGGCGATGCCGCGAGCTGGGAGTTGTGTGCGAGCTCGCGGCTTCGCATATCACGCTCGCACGCTCACGACTGTTCACTTGTGTTTTGTTCTTGATTGTGTTCTTCCCTACGAATATTTGGGCAAAAGAGGGACTGCTCGCAGTCAAACTAAGGGTTTACTGGCAGAAAAATAAAGGCATTAGTTGCTTTTGCTTGCTGATCCACAAGGTAAATATAGCACGCCGTACTAATCGTTTTGTTGACTGACGCTTTCTCCTAGGGACTTCGCAATACGAAGGTTCGGTAGACTGGGATCACTATGTCTCGTCATTGGGTAGCGAGCCCGTAACAGAACAACTCATCTATCAAATCAGTCCCGATGTTGGACGCGACTGGAAAGACCTTCTGCGAAGCCTGTCCATGAAGGCAAATGTCATTGAAAATCTGAGCGAGGATCACAAGCATGAAAAAATTGCCGAAAAGTGTATTCAGGGCCTCTTACAGTGGAAAAAGCTTGACCCTCAGTTAGCAACCATTAAAAATCTAGCTACTGCTCTCCGTCACGTGGGTTGCTATGATGCACTTCAAACGTTGCGGAAAAGTGTAAATGATGAATCAAAACATCAATGACTCTTAAGGGGGTCTAATACCTTAAAATATATATTTTTTGGCAAAACAGCTCTGTGGAACAGTTTTGGTACCACGTCAAAGGACTTTGCTCTCTGACTTCAAAATGAGCTTTCCTCTTCACATGCCACGATAGTTAATGAATAACTAGCTCCTAAGTGTGAAAAAGTGGTGTTCATTATAAACACGAGAACGTAACAATGAATGGTTCCAGAAGTATGGAATTAAGTTCATCCTGTCCATACGCAGGTTGTCCAGGAGACAAACCTCAGAAAACAGTGTTTTGAGGGTTTTTTCTCGTGAAATTTTGAACAAGTATACTAATATTAACTTACCTAACTAGATTAACTAAACAACAAGGTAAGAAATTTCATAAATTATAAATTTTGGAGTTTTAAGACATAAATAATCGTGTACTTTACCAATGTTTAAAATTTGACAACATTCGGTTAAAACCCAGTGGAGATATCGTGTGCGAGATATTGGTTATCCGTCCATTTGGTCATTTCGAGAAATAAGGCTCAAACTAGCCCAAACTAGCTCTGCAAACGGGGAGGGCGGGGGGTATATCGAAAGGTTTCACACAAATGTTCCATTGACTACCCGAAGAAACACCAGTCGTAGAAATGTTAACGAAGTATAAGGAGCGTATAAGATGGTAGAGAAAACAATGTTCAGGACCATGATGTAAAATTCTCAAAAGTACCATCTTTAAAGCGTTTCTGTAAAGTATCATTAAAATGTACTGAATTGAATCCATTTTGTGAGTACTTTTATGCTGTAAAGAATGGTTGCTATAGGTGTTGCTGTGCTGAAATATAGCTGCCTGTGTGCAGATTTCTTTACCCAAACGTAAATCAAGGAGTAATTAGCGGAAAATTGTTTCAAAATACGATTTGCAAATGGATAGGGATGTTGAATCTTCATATTCCGACAAAAATGTTTTTTTTTTTTGGAGAAAAAATTATATCTGAGAGTATAAGACCCCCTTAAGTTTAAATTAGAATTTAGAACTTTTGGAACTTGTTCATATGTTTATTTATAATCAACGAATTTGGTTTACCGCGTCCACGCACGTAAAAGGTAATACAGACCCTCTTTAGTTTGGACGGTTTGTTGCCCCACTTTAGACCATGTGATGATACTCTTGGAAATTCTTGCTTTTAAATTATCAAATACGGGTTTTCGCGTGTATATAAATGAATCATTTTTAAATGCATCAAAGACAAATTATCTACAGAATATCACGCGGTCTGAAACGGTAAAACAAACCGTTTAAGCTAAAGAGGCCAATATTATAATTTTCTCCTTGATCATACAACAGCAAACGTTGGGTGGTTGCCAGCCTAGTCCTTCCATTTTGTCTTGTTTCGACGCAAGCACGAGACGTGCATCACTTGCTTGTTACATCAGCCTACTTTTTGCCCTTTCTGCTGTTTGGGTGCAAGATACCTGGATCGATAAATTTCCAGAGAATGTTTTTTTCATAGGTGACGTCGTCGATTAATTAAGGTAGAGTTCAGGCTCCTTGGTAAAGCATCCCGGTTTAATAGCCGAGGTGTACAAGTTAACAAACTTATGGGTGCATGATTTTCACAAAAAAATTATTTTTCACTTAAGGCACAAATATTCAACTGTTTGTACATCTGTACCTCGATAAAGCAAGCGATGAAATGCGAATAATTCAGAATTTCATAGCTGATAAGGTAACCAAAGAAAACTCTACCACAAAGAAGGGTTAC